TGCAAAATGGAAGTTAAAAGCCTCTCACAAGGATGAGTTAAAAGCAGACACAAGGCAGCCAAAGAAGTCTGTGCATGACAGATGAGGACAGACAAGAGGGTGACCCATCTGTGGCTGCCTGTCTGCAGCAAGTTGCTGGCCAGAGACAGCGGGAGAAGCAGGTGGGCCAGAATATCTGCAGCCAGATCACCAACTCCACCGGTTGTGCCTCTGGCCTCTGCTTTGGAAGCCTCCCTTCATGAAGCCTCCTCGGAGGAAAGAGCCACTTCCGCATCCACCAAGCCTGGTCCTGCAGTGCCACTCGGCTGCCCTGGTGATTAAGGATGAGGTCTCCTGCAAACACTCCAACCCCAACCCCCTCTGTAGTCTCCCATGGGGAAAGCTGAGGCCACTATATTTTCCACGCCATTTTCTCAAACTTGGCCACTTATTTAGCTTCCGCAGGTGTTCTAGACCAAGCCAGAGTAGGATAGATGGGGAGAGAGAATGACCTACAGGGAACCTAGAAGACAGAATGAAGAAGGAAGACGGTGGGAAGAAGGAGCTGGGGACACATGGGTGACTGAAACTAAATGCAGGCCCTGGATCTGGAGTCACTGAAAAGCCAATCCCTGCCCCACCACCAACACTGCAACACGTGCTTTTTTTTTTATATAGCACTGACCACCAAAATGTGAGCATAGCTGTTTATTTTCTGTTCCTCCTTAATTCCCTTTAGTGGCCCTCCACCCCCACCCGAGCCAGTTTTTGGGTTCTCTATTTCTTCACAGCCAAGAATTTTTGGAACTTCATATGAAAGCTTAGCAGTTGTGCATAAAACAGCTAATCTGAATACCAACTAGAAGCTAACCTAATCACCAGGCAAGTGAGCAGTGACTCTAGCTAAGGAAGTGATGTCTGAAAATTTTATTTTAAAGCTCAGCACGAAGGTCGGCTAATAATGAGAATGATCCAAGTATCCCTTTTCCCATTGCCTGCCAGGAAACTCAATATTCCAAATGGTCAAGGACCAATGCATGCAGGCTGCCATGTCACAACAGATGGGTTCATCTTCCCCCAAACTCCATCAATCATTCCAACTCAGAAATCTTTTGGTTTTGCCTTTGACACTGTTATACAAGATTTTTTCCCCCCTCAAAGCTTCCCCGTATGTGTTGTCAAATGAATGGGGTCAGGGGTCCTCCCTTGTGGTGCAACAGATTAAAGCACAGCACTATGAAGCAATCCACAGCCACTGAAGCACAGGTTCAATTCCCAGTCAGCCGGGAAGGTGACCCACATGGCGCGGCAGACCTCTCCTGACCCGCCCGCTGCTCCCCTCAGCAGTGTACTTCAATCTGTCTATTCTATTCCCCACTGTGTCTCTGGTGACTCCTCTCACCCCCCACACCTCTGGCCTATACCCCAGTTCTTGTATGCATAAATAAATAAATCTTAAAATAAAAAAAAAAGAATGGGGTCATTATTACCCCAAAGGTAACGATGAGGGAGAACACTTTGGACACTATGGATGTGTATGGAAGGTGAGCAGGGAGACTGCAGCTAAGACTGACTGTGATTTCCCCAAATCCCAGTCTTCAATGTGTAAAGTGAGGCAGCCAAGGGCAGTGCCTGCCCAGCTGTCCTTCTCTGGTTGGGACCTGTGAGCCACACCCTCACCCCTGCCTCTCAGGCCAGAGTGCAGGCTGCCACACCCTGCTTAGCATGGAAGCCTTCAGGGGACAGGACCCAGAAACAGCAGCCCCAGGCTCCCTCATCTCTTCCTTCCAATGCACAGTGGCGATGGCAGAGCAGCTTAGCAGAGCTAGTTCTGGGTGTTCTGTCCAGGAAGGGGGGAAGGGCGGGGGGGAGGGGGGAGGCGGAAGGTAGTTGTGTTAGCAATCAGTGACAGTGGGTCCCACTCATTCCCCAAGTCTATTTTACGACTTTGAACTCAGTATGCAAATTTATGCAAGACAAGATGCAAAGCAGCACTTTGAGCCAGAAGTCCCGTTGCTTTTTTCCCCCTTTTTTTGAAGTTGCACTGAACCACTGTAAATCAGTGCTAGCCCCTGGTCCCCCTTTATGCTTCCCCAGCAACTGCACATGCAAAGCCTCTTAGGCAGCCAGCCTGCTGCCCACCAGCCTGCCCGCCTGCCCAGAGACTCTGAATTAAGGCGCATTTCTATAGCACCTTCATACGTGCAGACGGGCCATTTGGGTGGCTCCGCCCCTCAGCATAATCCAGGGCTTTGTAGGGCGGAGAGGGAGGCAGGGGAGATGCTGGGGGAACTAGTCCAGCCTAGCCTGGGGCGAGCCCAGCCTGGAATTCTGAAAAAGCCCCAACCTGTTTCCTCGGATGCCTCCCGGACTTCTAGACACTTCTGTCCATTCCTCTACCAAACACACACACATTCACTTTTAAGGTACAGACTTCAGGCAGATTTTGGGGTCCCCTTACCATTGTTCTTCCATGCCCACCCATTACCTCCACCCCCCCCATCTGACTTCTCTTTTCCTTGAACCAACAAGTCCCAGCCCATCACCCCCAGGAGATAGGGCTCTGCACCCGCTGATGTGCCCACCCCCACCCCTGCATCCCAGCCATCCCCAGGAAGCCAGCAACTCGGCCCCTGAGCCCTGGGAACAAAGACAAAAGAGCTAACAGCAAGCCGGAACTGCTGGAGTTTGCAGCCTCGAAATAAGAGGGTTTGTTTAAAATTCTCAAAAGCAACCTGCTCAAGAGGAATGCGGCCTGGGGGGCTAGGGGGGAGGATGTGCTCATTCTTTAGAGCGGGACAAAAGATGGGGAGGGAGAAAAGGGGGTACAGTATGCAGTGCTAAGGTCTCATCTGGGTACCCCTCCCAATCCTCTCCTATAGCACCCCCATCGCTGTTCCAACCAGAGATCATCTTCTGCAAAGAAGCCTCAAAACTTGTCCCTTCACACACCCCTGCCAATCCAGGCTTCTCCCCTGCAGTGCCTCCCCGCACCCCCCAACTCCCAGCCCTACTCATGGTCCTTTCTTTCAGCTAACTTTCACCACCCCAACTTGGTGGCCCCTCTTCACAATCTGGAGCAAGAAAGAAAAATGCAGAAGGGGCTGGGCACTAAGAGGGAGGCCAGGGTCTGGGGGGCTCGTGTGGGGGAAGGAGCCCTATCACCAGGCAGAGAAAGCAGTGACAGTTTTCCAATCACCTCACCCCATTGTCCTGTCTCACTACTTCAGGCTCCGGGGAGGAATGAATGGGGACTATAGCCCTCATCTGCTCCCTTCTCAAGACCCTAACTTGCTTCTGGGGGTGGAGAAGCTGGAGAGTAGTTTTCAGGAGGAAAGTGAGAGGAATGAAGAGTGAAAAAAAAAAAAAAGAACTGAAACATTCAGGATGGAGATGTAGCACACACTTGATTCAAACAGTCAAAATCCAAAGGATTCTGTGAACTTAGTGGCCTTTTGAAAACTTCACCCTGCTGAGGGAGATGTTTAGTTTGTCAGAGTTCAGCCCAGAACCACAGTTCTGCCCTGGCGGACCACGGGGTGCAAAGGGGTGATAGAGGAATTCGGGACTGAATGACAGCCCCCCTGCAGTGAAAGGACCTTCCCGAGTCTAAGACCCTTCATGATTTTCTAAGAAAAGCCGGAGTGAAGGGTTAACTGTAAGGCAGGCTGGGTTGGGGGGGGGGACCATCCAGGATGAAGAACAGGGCTGGGGGCTGCACACTCAGAAAACCTCAGTCTCTACACTCAAGGTCAAAATGCCCCAGAGAAACAGAAGAAAATAAAAGAAAGACTTCAACTCTGATCCCTAATTCCACTCTCAAGGAGACAGGGGAAAACAATAGCAGGCCAGAGAGGGGGTGTAAATGACAGAGAATCTGAGAAGCCAGCAAAGCTGCCACTTTTTCTTTTCAATTTTTCTACAGTTTGAAAAACTTTGTCAGACTTGTTTGCTTTTTAAACAACAGAGGCAGGCAGTGGGCACATTTCACCACTGTCTCCAAGAAGAAAGAAAATAATTACAGCTTCCTCCAGACCACTGGGGCCGCAGGCTTTTGTAATTAAATATATATATATCGTGCGAGATCCTTCTAGCCTGGTTGTGTACCTAAAAAAAACTTTTTGAGTAGATAAAGGCCCTTTACAAAGAATCTCGGGGTCCCATCTTGTAAGATAGCCTCAAAATTAGGATAGAGTGGGGGTGGGGTAACACCTCTCTGATACTGGTAGTCTCGTCCCTGCCTCCCGCCCCCCCCCCCCCCAGACCCAGGTCCTCCTCGGAGCAGCGAGGCCGCCCCTACCCGGAGCCGCAACCAGAGACCCGGTTAAGTTACAGACTGAACCGCTGGGGTGTCTTCCGCACCTCTCGACGGCCCCTCCTTTATTTTTCCACCCAGCACGGATGCAATCGCCTTCTTCGTGCTCGATGTAGAACAGCAGCATTCCTTTCTATATTGCCCCCTAACCACCCCCCAAAGTAACCAAGAAGTCCTTTCTTTCAACCCCGTTACCAGAGAGGGTCCCTCAAGTGTGCGCCGCCCTCTCCCAGCGCCCCCCTCTCCCCAAAGTTCTAGGGTGTCCCCAGCACCCGCAGGGGTGACCTCCACTAAGACCCTCCGATAAGCGGTGACTGACTCAAGCTCTCGCCCCCCGAGAAACTCCTCCGAGTCCCCACTCGCACAGACCTGATCAACGCCCTCCTCCCAGTGAGCCCCCCAAGATGTAAGTTAGGGTACGGTCCACCGGGGAAGACTACGGCGGCAGAAGCGCCTTTCCTCTCCGCGATTATCACCACCTGGCAGCCCCGGCTCTTCCGCACGCTCCACTAGTGAACCCCGTCCCGGGGCTGGCTGCGGACCCCAATTCCCAGCCATTCCGCAGAGTTGGTCTGGAGCTCCCTTCCTCCTCCGCTCAAAGACCGCCGAGGTGCCGAAGCACACCCCTCCCCTACAGAAGGGTCGCCAACCGGGCTCGCCCGGCGTCCCCCAAGTTTCTCCGAACTAGTTATCCCAACCCCGTTACCTGCAACCTGCTCGTGGCTGGAGCCGTACTCGGCGTCCCGGCGCTTTTCGCAAGTGCCCTCGCCCAGGACCAGCGCCTGCAGGGGCAGCTCGGAGCCGGGGTGGGGGTAGCAGCGCAGCCCCTGGCCGCAGCGCGGGGTGTAGACGCCGCACGCCTCTTTCTCCAGCCGGGCGCACACGGAGCAGCAGCCGCAGCCCGGCTCGCGGACCAGTTCCGCGCAGGGCGCGC